TTCCCTTCCCTTCCCTTCCCTTCCCTTCCCTTCCCTTCCCTTCCCTCTACCCCTAGTCAGCTGATTCCATGCCTTCTGCATGTTGTCAAGTAGGAAGTGAAGTCTGTGGAACATAAAGAGGTCTCTGCTTGATCAGGACATAGACCCACCTAGTGGAGCACTGCATATCACACAGTACCATCTGGACACATTTGGGAGGCTAATAAACCTGGAATAGAGAGCAATATCCCCCCCCCCGCCACAGTTCCTTCCCACAAACCATTACTGAAGATACGCTGCCATCAATATTAGTAGTCATTGATAGCCTGATCTTCCATGAATCTTCCAGTCCCTTTTAAAACCATCCAGATTGGCAGACATCACAACTGTTGGCTGCAGATTCTACCAATTAATTATGTACTGTATGAAAAAGTATTTTCTTCTCTTGGCCTGAATCTCCCTGGATTTAGTTTAAGTGGAATACATTGGGTTCTAACATTATGATAGAGGTGTAACATGTACCATTCTAGGAGCACACATAATTGCCTGCACCATTGTAGTTTGTACCAGCTGAAGCTTCCAGATACTCTTCAAAGGCAGTCCCATGTAGAGTATATTACAATAGTCTATCTGGGAGGTGACCAGGGCACAAGTAACTGTGAACAGAGCCTCATGATCTAGGAATGGGTGCAACTGGCACACAACACAAAGCTGTGCAAAGGCCCTCCTATCGATGACTACCACCTGCTCTTCAAGCAGGATTTGTGAGTCCAGAAGGACCCCCAGATTGTGCACTGGGTCTGTTTGGGGCAGTCCCATCCCATCCACTACCAAAGATGATAAAGTCCCAAATCCAGAAGGCCCTAAAACCCAAAGCCACTCAGTCTTGCCAGGGTTCAGCTGAAGCCTGTTGTTCCCCATCCAGACACCCACAGCCTCCAGGCACTGAGATAGGATATCAACAGCATCACTTAGTTCACTGGGGTGGAGATATATAATTATCATCAGTATACTGATGATACCTCACCCCATGGTGACAGAGGAACTCCCCCAGTGGCTTCATGTAGATGTTAAATAGGAGCGAAGAAAGTACCGAACCCTGGTACTTTCCCAATCAACCTCTCCCAATCAACACCAACTGGTATCTGCCCCATAGGAAAGAAGAGAACCAGCACAATACAGTGCCACCCACTCCCAGTCCACAGAGCCAATCCAGAAGGATACCGTGGTTGATGGTGTTGAAGGCTGCCAAGAGGTCAAGTAGATCCAGGATGGATGCACTACCTCCATCCCACTCCCACCAGAGGTCATCCAAAAGCACGACCAATGCCATTTCTGTCCCATACCCATCATTCTCCCTGAGGTGAGATTAGTCCCAACCCTACTGGTGTTTAGGAAATCCCTGAAAACTTGTTTTTTTCAGCAAGCTTGGGGATCCCAAAGAAATGGGGAGCCCACAAGATAGTATGTATGTAAGATGCTGGTCCAGTCTCCCACGGTGTTGTTTTATTTGTATTTGTGTTTAACTGTTTTTAACTGTTGCTTTAATTGTTTTAACTGGTTGTTTATTGTATGTCACCCAGGGTTATATTGGTGAAATGGGCTGCTATATAACTTTGATAATAAACCAACCAACCAACCAACCAATTTCTCTAATCTTTCCTCACAGGAGAACTCCTCCATCCCTTAGGAATTTTGGTTGCCACTTTTTGTATCTTGTAAGCTCTGTAATATCCTTTTTAATGTAAGAATTATACTCAGTACTTCAAGAATGTCCTCACTGTAGATTTGTATAACAACAATTTTATATTGGCAGTTCTATTTTCAATGAGGTAAGAGTACAATCATAAATGTGATCATTCCAGTGCTGGCTAAGCAGGGTCAGACTTGGTTAGTGCTTAGATGGGAGGCGCTCAAAAACTTCCAGAACTTCAGGCTAGACTGGGAAGTTAAAAACATATAGGTGGCAATCCCAAACCATTTCCATATGTTGCTAAGAAAATGATATAGACATATGCTTATAGTTATTAGGTGTTGAGTCTGACAACAAGGTGATTTTTTTTTTCATGTTTTACTGAATGATATTGAATTTGTGATGTTTAAGTTCTCCCTGTTGCAATGTGAATTTGTAATATAGCCATTCTTGTTTTAAGGATGAAAGTGCTAAGAAAATTATGCAGAAGAAAAAATATACTGTACTGAGGAAGGCCTTTGGTTAAAATGTCTGGTTTAAGAGTGTCATGGATGATGTTAGACAGCTTTATAAAGGTTGTGTTTTTATAATATTTTGATATATTGTTATGCCAAATTACAAACACAAACACATTTAGCTACATATACACAGTACATTGCCCAATCAATTGGGCATTTTGCCCTTCCATAGAATTAAATTTAGTGTAGGCACTTATAGAAACCATTGTGGCATAGTTGGATTCCAAAGAATTTAGCTCATCTTATTTTCAGGCTCATGGTATTTTCTTTTAATCAACCACACACTGTAGCATTCTTTTGTGTGCAGATGTGCATGTTGGTACATATGCCTGTGATTTTTCCTATGATCCTTTAAACGTATAGATTTCATCCCTTCCCCAACTCCTGCTTCTTTTTCCCCTAGGCAAAAGGTCATCCATGCAAGTGCTGTATATGAAATGAAATGTCAGATAAGAATTTATTCTTTCACTGATACTGAAGGATGGCATGATTTTAATGAGAATACAAAGTTTTCTGACAAAGGGCCCAAATACTGAGTGGAATGCCTACTACTTTATTTCAGTGGTGCAGAAGCAAGAAGCAGGACATGATTTCCTGATCCAGGGAATCTGGCATTTATGTTCTTTCACTAAGGCATTGCAGTTTGAGTACGTATCTTCATGTGTGCAAGGATTCGCTAAAAAATAAAAAAGAGATTATGTTAATAAAAGTAAGGCATCATCAAAGGTACAGCTGCTAGGGATCCTTTTACAATTGCATGTAATATTTGGGAGCTTAAAATCAAACATTTCTCTCTTTTAAGAGGGGTGGATTCAAAGCTGAAGATTTGTTTTAAAGGGAAAGTAGTATGTAGAGTAAGATGTAGCTGCTGAGTTATTAGTTTCAGCCATAGTCCTGGGCAACATCCAGAGAAAGCTGAGTCTGAATTTTAAGTTCTTCATAAGCTGTAATGGATTGGTACCAGCCTGATGACCATGTATTTTCTGATTCAGTTGCCTGGACTGGAAGCACCACTGGGGCAACTCCGGATGTCTGGTTACCCCACTACAGCATGCTTCTCAGTTCATGCATGTGCTGATCCAGATGCCTTGCTAGACTTGTCTTGCTGGATTGCTGGCCACCTTCTGCTACTGCCTGATATTCTACCCAGAGACTGTTAGCTCTTCGAGTTAAATCTATTCTTTGGTGACAAGACTTTTAAAAATGTTGTTGCTTTAATCATTGACCTTTTTTCCCCTTTTTACTTACTGCATAGTCCATTAGCACAGGATGAAGGACAGTCCCCACAAGGTGGCCCTGATTTATATGGAGTAGCAATTGAATTTATGAAGTTCCCTCTGGAATGAAAAAGGTAAACAAGGAGGTGCTATATGTTATTATAGTTACGTCTGTACTTGCTGAACCCCCCATGCCATATCAATAGATAATTGACTTTGGTTGCATTGCCTTGGTCTCTGGTTTGGGTTTCCAGTTTTGAGAAAGCAGACAGCTCCACCATTGGAGGGGAAGACCTGATCTCTGAAGTCTTCTCCAAAATGCAGAAAACCTTGATAAGTCTTGGCTCACCAGTATTAAAGTTTTGTGAGAGAGCAAAACACGATATTTTGGTTTGTTAGGAAGAGAAAGGATTGAGGGAAGCTTTGACTCTGCAGGATTCACAGCTTTGAATCCTCTTCCTCCCTAATGTCCTTCTTCTTCTGTTTCTTTTCTCTCTTTCTTGTAACATTCTCCTTCTCCAGTCTCTCTACCTTTTTCTATCCTCTCCAAGTAGCACAGAAAGGATCTCTCCCTTTCCTGCCAAACATATGCTATGATTGCTTGAGGCTGCAAGTCTGCCTTCTGTGCATATCATATTATCATCCATGCGATCTCTACGTGTTATCTTATGCATGTTTCTTCAGGTATTTCCCATACTTGGGCAGGGACCATGTGACTAAATATGTGGCTGCAGGTTGAACACTGCCGGTTCCATTCCTGGAACTGCCACTCAAGTTAAAAAAAAAGAATGAGATCAGGTGAATTGAAAAGTATGCAGAATTAATACAAAAGAGTGAACAGGGCTAGGACAAAAACTGAATTTGATTACAGTTAAGGAAATTAAAATAAATACAATCTAACAGTGAAGTCCATGTAGTAGATAATTTTTCCCTTTGCTCATATCATAAATAGTAATTTGATGGCAACAATGGTTCTGGAGGCTGCACTCAACACTTGGGTTACATCTAGGTCTAGATGGAGAAAGAATTGGACCTAGTATAAAGCTGTGGATGGATGGGCGGATGAATTGAATGAATTTCTAGGCTACTCAATTCCAGCCTGTGCAGCTTCACAAGTTAAAATATTATATTAAAAACAAATATCCAAGGAACAACACAACAACCTGTCGCATCACTCCCAATGCAAAAGGGCATTTCAGAGAAATTGTGTGCAGAATTATACAGGTAGTTCTCATTTAGCAACTGCCTTGGATAGCAACCGCAGTTATGATGGTGACAAAAAAGTAACTTAGTGACCAATCCTTGCATTTATGACCTTTGCAGGTTTGGAAAGCTGAAGTAAGATCGTAAGCAGTCATGGTTCCACTTAGCAACCACTTTGCTTAAGGCCCAAATTGCCAGTCCCAATTGTGATCACTAAACGAGAACTACCTGTAGTTTTTTGTTCAAAAATCCCAAAGTCAATTTTGATTTAAATCTCTTCATAACCCAGTGCAGGAAGAATAAAGATAAATGATTGGAACATCTCCTGAAATAAAATATGACTAAGAGTGTAAGTCAGCCAATCTTGTGAAAATTTAAGTATTCTTGATTTATTGCTATATAAACACATCTGCAGGAAAGAACAACGATGTTACAGCACAACCTCTGTGGCTTAACATATTTGTGCCTAATATCAGGGGACGATTACAAAAGGGTGGGATTCGCATTGTGCTGTCATAATGCATGTTTCATCATTTTTTCTACCATCACAACTAGCAGCTGAAGCTTTTCTTACCAGATAACATTTCAGCCCATATCAACTAGAGCAGAATATTGAAGAAAACTTGTACCATTGTGGATTCTACCCTGGAGCATTACTAGCCCTGGGACAGGACCAGGCTATGTTAATTCTTACAAAAAAGGATTCTTCTTGTAGAAGCACAAGTGGAACATAGTAAATTATTTTGAGGACAGCATTAGGAAATTATACACATTCTTTCAAACTGGCAAGGTCAGTAAATGATCTGTAAATGCTGAGGAGCTTTTTCATTGCCGCAATTTAATATTCTACCATCAGCCATCTTCAAAGGCAGATTTAGGAAGATCACCTACATAGAAAGGGTTTGTCCATATGGCTCAGGGGCCATTGACTGTGGCCCAACTCTACTATATTGCAACTTTTATAGAGTTCTTAGAAATTCTCTGTTGGAACCCCTATTTCAGACATTCCTCGGTGTCCTGATACATTTCATTTTCAATATCTCTTTTTGAACAGAGACCCCAAAATCACATACGCTGTGGCTAAACCTGAATTATTAGCATGCAAAACTCACAAGCAGTTACTTAAGTTGTAAGTCTAGTTAAGGATAGCCACATTTTACTGCTACACTAGAATTTGTTTCATTTTTTTTTTTTTGGTACTGCTGTTTTATATTTTGTTTGAGTCTAAGATTGTAATTAACATTTGATTAAAATTTTATTTAAGCCCATTGTTTTCTCTTCCAGTGCAGTCAGGATCATTCTAATTAGACTATGCCCTAAATGTGACAAATATTGAAACCATAGTTAATACGTACGCAGGACAGTAATGACAAACATAGTAGTATTTGAATTTGGATGCAGGACATTTAGCAGCAGCACAACCAAGAAGGCGACTTTTATACCAAACCACCTGTAGATACAAAAATATGCACACAAGTTTATATGCTGGAAGCCTACTGTTTTAATACTGAATAATAAACATAGGCATTTCCTAGGGGCATGTAAGAAAATAAGCCCAAACGTGAGCATGTTGTACTATATATAGTTGTGCGCTCCTACACAGTGGAGTTGATACCACAATAACCAATTTACAAAGAACGTTTCCAATCATGTTCTCTCTCTGAGTTAAAAAATATGCCCATTTCTATAGTTTGCAGAAGCAAAGAAATATTAGAAGGAATGAGGCTCCATCCCCTGGGCTTTAAAGGTATATGCTTATAAATGTAAAATATGAAAATGCCCTAATTTGAACTCTATAGATCAGTGTTCCTCAACCTTGGGAACTTTAAGCGGTGTGGACTTAAAGAATTAATTCAACTCCCAGAATTCATAGCTGGCTGGGGAATTCTGGGTGTTGAACTCCACACATCTTAAAGTTCTCAAGGTCGAGAAACTCTGCTACAGACCATATCTTCCTAAAGTGCCCATCATATCCAAAGCAGTCCATGTGTCATGCCCTATGACCTGCAGGCTAGTTCTTCCTTCCCAGCTGCATGAAAGCCAAGATATGCATGGGCAACTGTATATGAATAACAAACATGTTTAGTATGTTGTAATTTGCAAGCCCTCGTTTATACCATAGCAGAACTTAAAACCCTGCAACCCTTTAACCTAGTCCAGTTTTTCCTTTCCTTAAGATTCATGGGGACTACAGCTCTTAGCCAGGACATTCCCGTGCTGAAGTTATGGAATTCCTTAGTGATTGCAAGGACACAGTTGCTTGGTTTTCTTGGCAACAATACAAAAATATTTTGCTATTGCCTTCTTCCGGGAGGTTTTCTCAATTTTCCTGTCTAGCTTCAAGCCATGATTTTCTTATGTGACAACCAGGCCTGGCCTAGCTTAGTGATTCAAGATCAGCCAAGGAGTTGCTTGATTCAAGGGAGTCTATCTTTTTTACCTTATTCATTTTTGTGGATTTACACTTGCTGAACACAGAAATGACAAAAGATACGAAAAAAGTATTACCTGCGTATAATGGCCAGTAACGGCATTTGGTTGGATTGGTCCAACGCCATACTTGAAATCTTTCCTTTCATCATACCAAGACTGAGTTACTGCAGTCCATGAATAAGGATGAGTTGACATGAATAGATTTTCACCACACTGTAATTCTCCTAAAGCGGGGAGGGTAAAAAAAAAAAAAAAAAAAAAAGCAAGAAAACGGTGAATACATGCTTTGGAAGAAGTAAAGGGCCAGTAGAAAGGAGATAGATGAGTATTTCCTATCTCTCCAGAAATACTAATGCAGCCATCTTGCTAAAACATTAGAAAGGAAATGAACATTTTGCACCCAGATTTCTTACTATAGTGTTGTTCCAGAACCTTTAACTGGGCAGAGTGATAATCATTTGCTTTCTGATGAGCACCAAATAATATTTATTTATTTATCAAATTTATACACCACCCATCTCACCTTACAAGTGACTCTAGGCAGCTTATACGTAAAAAATGATTAAAAAAAAAAATCTTCCCTCCTCCCTCCTTCCCTGTCCCTGTCCCTCTCTCCCTGTCCCTCTCTCTCTATATATAAGGGCTAAAGGGCCAAAAGACAGGGACAGTGTCCTCAAACCACCAACCACCCCCAGTGCTGCAAGCCCCCATGCTCGGTGGCAGAGCTAGGTCTTCATGCTCTTCCAGAAAACCAGGGGGGTGGGGACCAGCCTCACCTCAGGGGACAAGATTTTCCACAGGGCTGGGGTGATGCTAAATAAATATAGTTTATTTAGAAGTAGAAGCTGTAGCATAGTGATGAACTGAGATTAGGGAGATTTAAGTTTAATTCTCCACTTGACCGTGAAACTCTCTGAACATCTTGGGTTGAACATCTTCTATGACACAGAGCTGTGGTGAGGATAACATCTTTAGCATCTTGGGGGAAGGTGAGGTATAAATGTAATAATAAATATAAAAAAGAAATGGAAAACTTCATTGTTCAAATACCATTTCTCCTGCAAACTCACTAGGGGAGCCTAAGAAAATTATTATCTTCTCAATCCTTCTACCACCCAATCAGCTATATGGGGGTGATAACTATAGAGTGATTCATAGTTGAAGAGCAAGACTGATTGTAAATTCTATTTAAATGTGAAATATATGATTAATCTGCTAACCAGCTAAAACTATTCCAAGCTTTCGGATTGACTTACCAACAGTTCTTTGATTTACTGGACTGTGAGCAAAAGAACATTTATCTGCCCAACGTTTGGCATTTTTAGCAGCATCAGGATGCCATTCCTGAATAGAAGACAACAGCAACAATCAGCCATTGAGAAAAGCATAATTTAAAATTGCAGAACATAATAGGGGTCTGATCATTTTTATTAGCTTTTGACTTCCTTCAGATCTTGTTGTAGTTAAGGATTCAGAAGTTACAGCAATATTCTCTAAAACATGCTTTGAGTAGTTGGAGCTGGATCACAAGGACATGTTCCCTCCCTACCCTTTCTGACTATAGTCCAAACAACACATGCATATCCTAATGAACACCATTAAGTGGGCTTCCTTCTGACCAGGTATGCTAAAATCCTGATTAAGATGAAGTTCTCTGGTGAGGGTATGTTGACTGCTTCTACATGCAAAAGCCAAATTGAGAAATGGTCTTTTTCAGTCTAAGAAAATATAAGGTTAAGAGATCATCATTATGTTTGGAACTTTTTGACCATTATTATTGTCTCTTATCAAGGTTCCTTAGGATCATGAACTGCATGATCAGTTTATATGTGACTTTCTCTGATAAGTTATGCAGAAGCATCCACAGGATCTTGCGGTGCACGTAGAAAGGGGTGAGGCTTACATCATGACACTGTCATTTATGTCACTCTGACTATACCCGACATCTAAATAATATAGAGTTATTTATTTATTTACATAGATCATTCCATTTGAGCTTTCTACTCTATTTCCTGGTGATACTGCCATGTGATACCAAGATCTATCTGGGCCATTTGCTTTGTTAATATTCATTGCTATTTTAATGGGTAAAATACTTTGCAAAGCTGGTTTCACTTGACTTTCAAGGAAAGCTCGTGAAGTTTTTCATAAAGTGAAAAAATCAAATTGTGCAAAGCAGTACAGAAAGCTGTATTAACATAGATGGCAATTGAAACTACAGTGCTTGGATGTGACTAGCATTCTTTTCAAAGGCATTAACTGATTTTCATGAAAAAGAAAGAAATTGTACTATGCTGTGTATTTATGTACAATTACTAGAGCACAACTGCTATTGATTTCCATGGGATTTATGTCAAACTAAAGACAGCTTAAGATTGCAATTTGTATGAAACACACAACTCTGCAAGTCTAGCCTTTGCTGTGATTATGGCAATTAAAGGTATAAGGGCCAATACTGGAAAGCATGTAAAAAATACAGCTTCGAGGAGATACTAGATATTGCTCAAGGATGCATTTCTTCAGCCACATTAAACTAGCCTTGAATCACTTTCACTCACTTCTAGTTGTATTTTGTGCACAATTCAAAGGGATGGGTTTAATGTTGAGGCCCCAAATAGTTTCTGGCCAGTATATCTGAAGGATCACCCTGATCCCTATTAGCCTGAATGTAGCACAGTTGTTGATCCTGTTTTATGTTTCATTCCCTAGAGTGACAAAGTTACTACCTACTCCTGAGGACTTATTAGTTCATTGTGGTTCATCACTGTGTAATGCTTGCCACAGATATATATTTTATTTTAAAGCCCCTCCTAAATTTTATTACTCCACAATTTCCTGCTTTTATTATATGTTTTCATGATCTTTTTTTATTGACTATTTCCCTGAGTGGCGTTGTGACTGATAGATTCACACATAAATACAGATACACCTAAATCCGTATTGGCAAAGAAGCAGAGTTAATTACTCAATAAATAAATAATAAATATATTCTCTTGTCCTAGTTAGTAAATCGCATAACATTTATACTAGTAAGAAAGTTAAACTTGCAAACACAGATACAATTACATTTAGCTTACCATTCGTAGCATGTTACTAGCAGTTGGGCTCACTGTTCTCCGTAAATTATTGTGGTGGTCAACAATCTCCTTTTGTTTTTCTCTTCTGCTGGTTGACTCAGCAGCAAAACCATCCTTAAGGTAGAAAGCAAAAAAAAAAAAAAAAAAGACTCTAAATAGGGATGGGCAACTAGTGACCTCAGGACTGAAGGCAGCCCCAAACTTTTTTCCAGGTCCAGGAGCACCCCTCTTACAGCCATTGCTGAAAACTGGTGGCATGGTTCCTCACCATTCTGAGACAGAAAATATACAACTGTCACATAATCCCTAAAATAGCCTTAATGTAACTTTAAAAGCAGAAAATTCTTGTGAACGACCTGGCCTCATCCCCTTTCTATCACCATTCTGAGGGCCTGATGTTGGAATTCTCTATTGGAAGTAGCCTATCTGCAGATGTTCTGGCTTTTACTTAGTTCATAGATGTAGTACTTTAAGAAGCTGTTAGCCAATGGCTATTATCAGACATAGGTATCTGTCTTTGTCTTCTTCAGCAGGAAACAGAGGACACTGTGCTTAAGCTCTTTCTATTTAGCACAAGAGTTAAGTGGAAGATAGTTTCCCACCTGGCCCATCCTGTGGTTTTGCTTGCCTATGTACAGTAGGCCAAGGACCCATATGTAGGTCACAAAGAGCGTCAAAGTTCATCATTAGCATAGTAAAAAACATACCCTGAGGTGGGATACATAGCTAATTAAGTGCACTCCCCAAGATGGAGAATAAGGAAGTTAGGGAGTTCCACAAAGCAACTGCAAGAGAGTCCACCTGGTAGGTGTGACATAATTATGCTTGCCTATGAGATTGTATCTAATGTTGTAGAGGATGCTATAAAATGTAGCCCACTGAACTGGTGGAGCACGTGCTTTTTGCTAGGCATAGCCCCCTGTGCGCCTCTCTTTGCCTCTGTACAGAAATAAAGAGATTCTCTTTCCCTTGACTCTGTGTGGACATTGGCTCTCTCACACTGGGTGAACAAACTTAGCCAGCCTTCTGGCCAACAATCCTACTGATTGTATCTAATGTTGTAGAGGATGCTATAAAATGTAGCCCACTGAACTGGTGGAGCACGCGCTTTTTGCTAGGCATAGCCCCCTGTGCGCCTCTCTTTGCCTCTGTACAGAAATAAAGAGATTCTCTTTCCCTTGACTCTGTGTGGACATTGGCTCTCTCACACTGGGTGAACAAACTTAGCCAGCCTTCTGGCCAACAATCCTACTCCCTGCAGCCTTCTTCTCTTCCCCAAAATGGAAAGTGTGACCTCCAGTCTCCAGAAGAGACCAGTCACAATCTAGGAAACAGGTGATCACAGAGTAAAGTTAAAATGAATTAGTCTTTATTTCCTCATCTATACTTCAATGGGATACTGCAGTGGTATTTATTTATCTATATAAAGAACTTACATGGCTGCCTATCTCATATAATGATTCTAGGGGGTTCAAAACAACTGAATAAAAACAGAAACACCCTACCTACCAGATGCCAGACCAATCAGCCTCCTCTTTCAGCCTCCTCATTCAACTCCCATCCTAGCCCAATGCTTGGGGGTAAAGCCAGGTCTTCATGGCCTTCTAGAAGGCTAAAGGGGTAGGGATCCCTCAGACCTCAGACAGGAGGCTATTCCAAAGGGCTGAGGCTTTAGTTCTGTTATGGGCCACAGCCATTAAAATTAGTAAGATTCTTTTCACTAAATATCAATTTTAATTACATTTATTTGGATGCCCCATTCAGCATGATTTTGTTTTGCTTTGTGTGTTCAGGCCTGGAATACATTTATGAATTAAAATGAACATTAGACTGATCAAGCTTCACTGTTGCCTTTCAAATCATATTGTCAGCCTTTCAAGGTAGACCAGACTAGGAAACCAGAATTATATATTATAAAGTTACAGCAACAGAATCTTGCAAATCTGGATGCACTTCCCCCCTCCCTCCCTTTATCTTACTGAGAACTAGGGATGGTCTTGTCTGAGACGCTTTCTCAAATTACATTTCTGCACTGGATTCAGATTTCTTTTATCTGATTGTTGCCTTGGCTGCAGCTCTTGCTCCTCAAGGTTATTCCTACTTCCCATTACACATATGGAACAATCCAACACGTATTAGTTGTGATTAGGATGATTCATTTTAACAGGAAAAAGTTAGGTACTGTATATGTTAAATCTGCTATACTTGACACAAAGTTATGAAACTTACATCTCCAGAAGATTGTTGCAGCACTGCAGCAAGACTCAGCAAGACAATGAGGGCAATCATTTCTAAAAACAAAAAAACATTGAGACATATCTGTGTTTAATCTGCTTATTGGAATTTGTGCCAACTTTATGTAAGTAGTTCAGAATGTATGCATGTGGCCTGAATCTATCTGAAGATATATCTCCTAGTTCACAAACCTTGCTCTAACTCTTATGCGTATTCTCTTCTTTAGTCCCTGGTACTCCAAAATGCAGCCTACATATCCATGGTTCATTCCTGGTAACTTAACCACAAATCATCCATAAATCCTTACTAGTTCATAAAATCTTCCCCTATTTTTTAATTTGTTGCAGTAAAAGTTATCTTTCACCCCAGCCATTTTCATAAAAGCCAATCCAAAGATCGTGCTGATGAGGGATTATTGTATCTAAAGTCCAATGTGTCTGAAGGCCACCAGTTTGGAGACAGCTGTTTCAGAATGTATTGTTTCTCAGTCTTTTAGCTTCAATCAAGTATAGTCAACTATATCAGCATATACAGAGGTTAGTCACAACTGCTCATATGAGAACTGTACCACAGGTTCCTTTTCCAGCAATACTGGATTAGTGGCTAACATAATTAGAATTACAAAGAGGTCACTGGCTATGGAGACTGCCTTGATCTTGTTTCTATGCCACATGTCAATTTCCACCAACACATTTGGCAATGGTGATTGCTCCAGCCTTTATCTGGAGAGCATGGAAACAGATTTGCACTACATGATACTTAGTTGGCTTCCCAGCTTCTCATGTGTGGCAGGAAGTGGTGTGGCACCACTGTATGTGGGGTTTGCTTTTCTGTGGCATGTTTCCTTAGCTGTAGCATATAATGAGAAAGCTCAGGAAGCAGAAGCTGAGATGAATTTTAAAAATTGTGGGGTTAGGACCAGGCACACAATTATGGTGGGCACTAAACCAGACTGCCAAAATCCATAGTAATGAGGAGGAGAAAATAGATAAGGTAGTATATTTTATGAGCATAGTTTCTCTTAGGGAAAAATATTAATTATTAAGCCATCCTGAGGCAAAAAGCAAAAGGGGTAGGATTAAGTTTAAACATTTGAGGTCTTATCTATATTGCACTATACATTTACAGACCAGTAGTATAAATGTTTATTTGGAAGTCAGTCCCACTGAGTTCAATTTGCATTTCATTCATATAAATGCACAAAAAGGACTGTAGCCTTAAAATGGCTTTAATTCTAATTTCCTTCTTCCAGGGAACCTTAGAAATTTTAGTTTACTAAGAGAAGAGCCAGGGATCTCTAACAGAATTACAGGCAAACTCAGAAAACAGCAATGCCGGATTTTTAGAAGAAAGCCATGATATTTAAGCTAGTATAAACCTAATATATTATGGTAATAGATGTAACATATTCTCAGAAATAGAGCAAAACTAGACAACATCATAGAACTTGCATACATATTAATTGCTAGAAATGTGACTGATGTGCTCCTAAATTACCTTTTTTCCCTAAAATTATCCCAATTTGCTTAATTACAAATAATAGTTTTAAAGAAGCTGCAGTTTAAAGGCTCAAACAGTAAATCTTACCTTTTTGTTCTGAATAAGCCCTAGGGTAACTTCTTTATTGCTTTCAGGAGATTATGAAAGTCAGAGACTGACATTACCATGTTTATATACCTCCACTGCTTCCTACTTCAGAGTGACTCAGTGCTCAACAGTAAATCATATTCCTTAAGTGTTGATAAGACAGAAATTTGGATTTGTCACAGGTTCTTTCTTTCTTCCTCAAGTTCATGACTTCTCATACAAAGATCTGCTTCTGAATCTATTCAAAGCTACCCAGCAACTTATATAAAGCAATGAATTGATATTTATGTGGTATATCTGAACACACCTGGAAGTAAGTTCCAATTGTGTCAGTAGAATCTACCTAAAATGTGTTTACAACTGCAGACAAGGTTCTGTTCTCATAATTGATGGTCCTTAGAAGTTGAGATAAAATGTTCCATTATACTGTTACTCTTTTTTAGTGTTATACTGATTGCACAATGTGTTTACAAAAATTAACATATGAGTCCAAGATAGCAAAATGTATTCCTGTTTCTCAAAGTCTTTGTAAAAAATAAGGAAATGGTATTATTTGTTTTTTTTTCTTCCTAGTGTTTTCCTGCATGTGCAGGATCCACTTTTTTTTTTTTTTTTTGGATCAACCAAATATTAGTCTATTGGTTGTGACAGGAATTGACTGACTGGCTTGTTGCCTGAGCCTGACATCCGGGAGCGGGGTGGTGGTGGTGGTGTGACAGAGAGTGGCGGGACTAGAAATTAAGGCACCAGGCTAGAATCTAGGAGACTGTGAGTTCTAGTCCTGCCTTGAATGAAGCTGGCTGGGTGACCTTTTGGCCCAGTCCCTCTCTCTCAGCCCAAGTCCCAAAAAGATATAAGGAAGTGGCTTCTGATCCTCTTTACAGCAGTTATAAATACAATTATAGATTTACCTCCTTCTCTAAAGTTACATTGTGACTCTCTTCTTTCTGTAACCTATCCTATCTAATTGTCAAAATCATAGATCATCAGTTCATTTTTTTTTCTGTTTTATTCAAAAACCCATAAGGGGTTTCCAGTCAGCAATAAATGTAGATATTGTCTTTTCTCTAATCAAACAGGTCAAATTGACCATCTCAGCAAGTTCTATTACCTTCACCAACCATTCCTTTATCGTAGGTATTACCAAACTTTCCATCTTTATGCATACAATAATCTCACTATGGTTATCATATATAAAAACAAAGTTCCATTACTGTTTATCCATCAGTCCCAAGAGAAAAATTTCTGGTTTCAGTTATATATTAATCTTTAAAATTCTATGAATCAGTGTATGTATCTGAACCCAAAACCTTCTAGGTGTTTTGCACGTCCACCAACCATGATAAAATGACTCTTCTTGTCATTCACATTTCCATCATAGATTTGAAGTATACATTCTAGATAATTTTTCTGGTGTCATATACCAATGGTACATTACAATTTGTTCTGTACCACATTTGGGAAATCTAAAATGCATGGGATTTATTTTATGAGTAATAACATTTCCAAAAAATGAAGATAGTATTCCTTATAATTTTAATACTGGAATCTTCCTAGGATCCCATAGTTAGCATGAGGATAGAAATGTAATTTCTGCTTGTGTTGAATTATTTCTACCACCTGCTTTGATAGATTAGAGATTCAATAGATGGTGGGAATTTACTATGAAAAAATACTTATGTTACAAGAATACTTATGTTACAAGAATAGAAATAATCTTTGAAATGTTATGAATCTAAAATCAATTGATCAGAAATATTGGTTGAAGAAGAGATCAAGACTGTCCCAGTCATATGTTCTAATAACTTTCCCCATAATTAGGGTTTATAATTATTTTGTTAATAACCTAACTAGTGTTGTAATGGAAAATTATATTGGGATCAAGTCCAATTCCTATGCTAACCCTCTTAAAAAAAAAACCTTCTTACTTAAAGGAGCAGGAAGTGAAGATATTGGGAAAAGTTATACCAGTAAGTCATGACTTTATGCACATATTAAAATAACAAGGGTGAAGATTATGCAAATGAAACAATAGAAGTACATCATGGTTTTATATACAAATTAAATACTCTGCTGCCTGTGTGCTATCTTTAATTATGACAGATATTAACTCTAGACTTATCAAGGTAAATTAGGTTGTCTTCATAGAAGTGTTTCTAAATAAGGCTCATCCATATGTTTTTGTATTGGAAAATCCAACTAATTGCTTAAGGTGGATTTACAAAGATAACCATTTCCTTCAACATGGAGTTCGGTTCAAAGTTACAGAAGCTAGCCATATGCATCTGAGTCTTATGCATAGACAACAATATGCTCAGACTATAGAACTAGCTATGGCTGCTGGTTCGTTGTTGTTTGTTTTAAGAGTGTATTAATTGTAGCATGGGACATGGAGCACAACATCCACTAAAATCCAGAGATTTTTGTGCATGGTAAATATGCTTGCAGTAGAAAACAAGAGTATAAGACACTTTAAAAGTCTCTAGTTTACAAATACTCCCAGTTTGTAATTTCAAAATGTGAACTCTGCACTGTAATCAGAAAAGAAAAATGCACTATGTAATTCTGGAGAGAGTCAGCTTGCTGCCATTATTCAAAATACAACTGCACATTGTTTTAGTAGCTAGAAGAACTAAAATGTCCTCATTCAGTTTTTAAGACCTTTTCACACAACAATTATTCAAATATTCTATCGAAAGCTGATTTTGAGTTCATATGACATCAAAATGGAAGAAACTGATATGTATAAACATTAATCATTGTTTAATCATTGATTATCAACTGATAATCATTGTTCTGTCAACAGGTACCTCTTTTTTCAGCAGATTGCCAGAAATGTTGGATGATATGTATATTTGGTGTCTGTATGCATTACTTTTTATTCACCTCAGATGTGATCACCAAACCAACCTGAAGAAAGAAACTCCAGAAGGTATGAATGGTTCATTTATGTCTAAAGAAGAATGTTGTGATTAGAGGGATCCAAGAAGTTTTGTTAACCCTTTTCAGTCTTTTCTGCAAAGAGTGTATGTAGCTGAATTGTAAAATTCTGTATTAGCTTGATATAATTAATATATTTTATTGAAGTTTTTAATAAACATAATAAAAACTACAGGAAGTCCTCAAGTTACAACTGCAATTAGGACCAGGATTGCTGTCGCTAAGCGATGCAGTCATAAAGCGTGATGTGGAAAAAGGGCATGGGGTACATGCATGCATGTGTGTGATTGCAGGGAGGTCATGGAAAGAGGGCATGAGGGTACATACAGTACATGCGCGCATGTGTGTGATTGCAGGGAGGCTGTGGAAAAAGAGTGTGTGGTACGCGCATGCAAGTGTGAGATCTCAGAGAGGCCAAGGGAAGAGGGTGCAGGGTACGTGTGTGTGTGTATGTGATTGCAGGGAGACTGAGGAAAGAGGGCACAGGGTGTGTGGATGTGTATGAGCACAGAGACCGGAAAAAGGGTGCAGG